ATAAACCAGTATCAGTCAAAGAAATCAAGTATGTAATTGAAAACCTACCAACAAAGAAAATGCTGGCCTGATGGATTCATTGCTGAATTCTACATAAGTGCAGAGAAGACCTAACACAACTACCTCTTAAACTATTTAATAAAATTGAAATGGAAGCAAATACTCCCAACTTCATTTCTGGAATAAAGCATTACCCTGATTTCAAGACTGAAGAAGGACTCAGCTAAGAAAGAGGACTACAGGCTAATCTCTTTAATGAACATAGCTGCAAAAATCCTCAATAAGATACTGGCAAATAGTATCAAGCAAATCATCAAGATTATATACCATGACCAAGAGGGATTCATCCCAGGGATACAGGGATGGTTCAACATACCTAAGTCAGTAAGTATAATACACCATATTAATAGAGCCAAGGACAAAAATGTTATCATCTCGAGAGAGATAGAAAAAGCTTTTGACAAACTTCAGTACCCATTCATAACAGAAATCCTACAGAAAATTGGAATAGATGGTCTTTTATCTCAATCTAATGAAAGCCATCTATACAAACCAACTGCCAACATTATAGTAAGTGGACAAAAACAAAATTTTGATTCTAAAATCAGGAGCAAAACAAGCATGTCCACCATCTCTACTCTTATTCAATATAGTCCTGGAAAGTTTAGCCAGAGCGATTAGAAAGTGAAAAAAATAAAAGCAATAACAAAAGGAAAGGAAGAAGCTAAATTATCATTCTTTGCAGATGACATGATATTCTACACAGAAGAACCCCAAAAGCTCCACTAAAAATCTGCTAGACTTAATAAGGAAATTCAGGAGCACAGCTGGATACAAACTCAATATACAAAAGTCAACAGCCTTCCTGTATACAAACAACAAACTCACTGAGAAACACCTTCCACAATAGTATCCAAAACCATGAAATACTGAGGAATGAATCTTAACAAAGGATGTAAAAGACCTCTATATCGAAAACTGCAGTACTGTGAAAAGGGAGATTGAAACAGATGTCCGAAAAGGGAGAGACAGCCCTTGCTCTTGGGTAGGAGGAGCCAATATAGTGAAAATGACTATGCTTCTGAACTGTTAGACAGATTTAGTGCAATTTCAATCACAATTCCAACCGTATATGTTACAGAATTAGAGGAAGCAATCCTAAAATTCAGCTGAAATCTTAAGAGACCTAGAATAGCAAAAGCAATCCTGAGCAACAAAGGAAACCCGAGGGCATCACCATTCAGACTTGAAATTATATTACAAAGCTCCTGTGATAAAAACAGCACAGTGCTTGCATAAAGAACAGACCTGAGCACTAATGGAGCAGATTAGAAGATGCAGAAACACTCCAAACACAGCCAGCCACCTTGTCCTTAAAAGGGTCAAATCCCTTCACTGGAAGAAATGGTGCTGGGAAAAACTGGCTGTCCACCGTGCCAAAGACTAAAATTAGACCCATGTTTCTCACCATGCACTAAACTAAAATAACAATGGACCAAAATCTAACTATTAAGACAGAAACACTCAATCTTCTGGAAGAGAAAACAGGTAGAGCTCTTGAAAATACAGATGTGGGCAAAGACTTTATGAACAAATCCCCGGTTATACGGGGACTATTATAAAGAATCAAGTGGAATCTCTTCTTATTGAAATGCTTTTGCTCAGTAGAAGAAATCACCAACATAATGAAAGACAGTTTACAAAATGGGAAACATTTTTTCTAACTGTTCCTCAAAAAATAAATATAAAGAACAAAAATCATACCCCCAAACAAAAACCTAATCCAAATTGGACCTCTCAGATGAACAGGCACTTCTCAGATGACAAAATGTATATGGCAAATAAATACCTGACAAAATATTCAACATCACTGGTCATTCAAAAAATGAAAATTAGGGGGCCCAGTGAGATAGTTCAGCAGACTAAAGTGACTGCTTAGGCAAGTGTAGGCAAGCGCAGGGACCTAGGTTTGATCCCCGACACCACATGCCGTGCCAGCCATGCCCCCAGCGTAGGCTGAGCTGGCCACAAAAAAAAGGAAATGTAAATTAAAACAACACTGAGATTCCATCTCGCTCCAGAATGAATGGCAATATCAAGAAATAAACCAATAACAAATGCTGGCAGGACCACAGAAGAAAAAGAACCCTTTCCACTATTGGAAGGAATGTAGACTGGGACAATGACTGTGGGAATCAGTGTGGAGATTCTTCAAAACACAAAAACCAAAAGCTCAATTTTACTCAATTATTTTCATTCTCCATATCCTCCCTAAAGAATTAAAAAGGCCATATATCAGAGTGTTATGGGCATACCCATTTTTATACGAGCAGAGTCTGTAATAGCTAAACAGCCCAAATGTCCATCACTGGGCGAACAAAGAAGACGTATTTTTAACACCATAGAACACTATTCAGCCATAAAGAAGGATACACTTGAGATATGTCTTGAGACTGTATTCTTACGTAAAATAAATCACGCACATGTGTCAATACCGCACTATCTCTCTGTTATGAGAAACTGAAAGTAAAAATAAAGATCAAAATGTGTATTAGATATTTTCAAATAAGAAGACAACTAGGAAAGGAGAAGAGGAAAGGAAATAAGGGAAAAGAAAAAAAATAAGAGAAGAGGGAAAAATGGAAACAAAGCCTTTGTAAATAGGGAGAGAGGGCTGGGGAGCTAGCTCAGCGGCACAAGCACCTGCCTGGCAAGTGTAAGGTCCTGAGCTCGATCTCTGGTACAAAAATAAAAATAAAATAAAATTAAAAAAACTTTCCAGGATCCAATCCCCGGCATGATGGCATGTTGGCCCTGTCCCCAGAGTTGCTGAGACAGTAATAGAGACTGTGCGTGGTGGCAAACACCTGTAATCCCAGCATTTGGGAGGCTGAAAACAGGAGGATCACTACAAGTCCAAACTGTATAGTGAGACCCTGTAGACCATGTACTAAATGCATTTTAAAAAATACAAAGAGGACTAGGAGCTGAAAATGGGAGAGTGGAATGGGAGAGAAAGGGAATGAAGTTCTAGCATGTGCAGGTACTGACTTGCTAGGAGGGATGGGGCCATGGTGTGTATCTAAAGTGAACCAGTAAAATTAGTTAAAAATGCAACTAAAAGGGGCACATTGTCCCTTAGGCAATGTGAGAAAAAAATAAAGACAACAAACTAAACAAAAAGTGAAGAATCTATGGTCCCAGGGCTGTGGAGTTTTACTGAGAGGATTCACCCAAGAGCACACATCTGAAATTTATATAATGATATTTAATAAACATCAGCAACTTAGGAGAAAACTGCTTTCCAAGTTCAAGTGAATGTCCATGAATTAGAGGCAAGAAAGCCTCTAATTCTTGAGATGGAAGAGCAAAGATGACAGAAATAAGCTGAGCAGACACACAGGGCCAGGGACACAGGACCACCGCGGCAGCAGCCGTGTCCTGCGCGTGTGATAAGGAGCCCAAGAGACACTGAGGAGGTCAGCGATGGGCGGACTTGTGAGCGGGGGAGGGAAAGGGCAGACGGCGTGGGGACCACAGAGGCAGGAGATGGCTACCAGCCCCCAGAAGAAGCGCATGTGCTTGCAGCGCTGGGTTCACGAAGGACAGTGCTTGTGAGCCCAGAGGTGCCCTGGGTTCCTGCCGGGACCACGAGGCCAAAAGCCGGCACAGAGGGGTCTGCTGTGGTCCTGACCCTGCTGACGTCATGCCCAGGGAAAGGAGCAGCCACAAGCGGCCGCTTATACGCGTGTCCAGAGGACAATGCTCTGGAACCAGAGTATGATGGCCCGGACCAGGCAGCAGCACAAGGCTGGATGGGGTTCTCGCTGGGTGGGGAAGATGTTGTGAAATCAGATGGTGGGGATGGCTGCACCGCCCTGCGGATGCACCAGAAGTGCCGCAGTGACAACTGCACGCAAAGTGAGCTGTATCTGACCAACACTACAGAAGTCCTGCAAGAAAACCGACCACAGAAACGAGACAGCCACTGGGGGCAGGCAAACCGGGGCAAAGCACAACACCAACACTAGCACTGATGGATGATGGGACTGGCCCCTCCAGGCGACAGGGTCACCATGGGACTGGCCCTGCACCCTGCTGGGCGCGCGGGTCTCTCCCTGCCCCTGCACCAGCCCAGCCCTGCCCTCCACCAGCTCCCCTCCAGCCGGCATAGGATGCGGCATAGAATCTCCGCCTTGCACCTCCGAGACCAACTGCTCCACGCCTAGGTCTCATCCCCACTCAACTCCAAGACCCATGAGCAGAAGGAAGGGAAAGGAGGTGGTTCACAGAGGGCAGTGCCACACTGAGAAACGACATCAGGACAGTGACACAGCCCAGCCTGCTTCTCCTGATTCCCACCTTTGAGCCAGGAGGCCTTGGGGAAAAGCCTGGAATTGACTCACAGCCTGTTAGCCTTTTGGGGTGACGGCATCTGGAGTCCCAGCAATCGGTGCGTGGATGGGGGGACTGCAAGTTCCAGACCAGCCTGAGCAGCTCAGGGAGATCCTGCCTTTTAGTTTTGAGGAAGGTGGGGTCACAGACTCTGTCTCCCTACTGCAGTCTCAGTGTGGCCCCAGGGTCCTCCTCTCTGGCTCTATTTCCACGAGAGACATTAGTCGGTCGTGCAGAACACAGCAGCGAGGTGGACAGTCCCAGCAACGCCAGCCTGACACCAGGCACACGCGGCTCAGGCAGCAGAACGCCCCTATGTCTGCCTCGCCCCTCGGTCTGGATCCTGCTGGGACGCAGGGCAGAACCGCAGGTTGGCTTTTTTAACCTGAGCGTGCAGGTGGGCTGACGCTGCAGGTCCAGGGTGACACAAGGTCGGCCAGCTGTGGGCAGCCACAGTCCTGCAGAGGGTCCCTGCGACAGGAGTGGGGAGACAGAGCCCCCAGGCAGCTAGCGGAGCATCCAAGAGTGGAGGCTGGAGCGGTGTCTGCTCCTGTCTCACGCAAAGAAAGCGAGGAAAGCAAGGAGGCTGCGACAGGCGCACGTACCTTGAGCCGGAAGCAGACCAGCCCCAGAGTGACCTCCACGCAGATCTCAAAGCGGCGGTCCTGGAGCACCAAGGCCTCGAACTCGTGGGCCAGCTGCACATGCTGGGGAGAGAAGGGCAGTCGCCCTGAGTTTCTCGTCGCCCTGCGCTCAGGACTTAGCCCCCAGAAGACCTTAGCAGACAGCACAGGTCTCACTCCTGAGCGACATTCACGCAGGGAAACATCAGTGGCTTCTGCTCAGGGGCCACTGCGCCCAGCCCCAGAGCGGCCTTCGCAGTTTTAGAGCACTTTCGAGAGGTATCGGACACCCACTGTTCACAAGGCTGGACTTGAACCCTGGGCCGTGTGCACTGAGCTCCCTCACCTTGCTCCTCATTTACCTTCTGGACGTTTGTGGAACACACACGCCGCAAGGGCGGTGGAGACCGCGCTCCCTGGGTCTGGGTGCGCTTCCGGCCCTCTCCTTCCGGCCTCCGTGCAGAGCTGACACCAGGTACCCGGTAGGTGCGGGAGAAGGTCCCAAGCACCGGCCAGGGCTGGCCTGACCCCGGACATGGAAATGAGCGATACCGAGGTAGAGCACCAGAGGGCGCCAAAGACCCCCCAAACTCGGGGACACTAGCTGGGCGCACGCAGGCTCCCCCAGGGCCTCAAGCTTAGGGCTGTGTCTCTGTTTCTGTTCAGAGGCGCGCTGCATCTGAACCCAGGACAGCGCAAGCCCGCTGGCTGTCTTGGAGTTACTGTTTATCGGACGGGGCTGAGGCTGCAGAGACCCAGCCCGACTGGCACCACCAGGTAGGGTGGAGGGACAGTGGCTTGAAGGCATGGGCCCACCCCAGCTCCATATCAACCACTTGGGCACGTTTTGTGGAGGAAAATGTGACGTGTGGGTTGAAAAATATGGCATATGTTTAAATTTATAAATTTATAAATTAATTACAGTGAAAGACACTGCCATGAGCCCTTCTCGAAATCCTCCCCCTTGCACCAAACACGCTTGTCCCACCGCCCTCGCTCCTCTGAAGCAGCTCTGGGAGGCCCTGAGCTCCGCGGTCCTAGCCGCCCCACGGTCCTGAATCAGTTCAAACTTTGGTGTTTCATGGGTCATCGTGACTTTGCAGAGCAGCCACAAGCCACGGTGTGAGATCTGATGGATATGGCAGGTGAGGACACAGCCTCCTTTTCACGAGCTGCCTTTCCTCGGGGCTGCGCTTGGGCAACAACTTTCACTCTATTTTTGATCCACGTCATAAAGACACAGGAAAGAAGGTTTCAGAACTGTGGTAGAAAGTGGCCAGAACGATGGGCGAAGCATTTTCACCTAGCAATGTATCTTCTAACGTAATAAGTTCAATGCAAGGGCCTGCGAGATAGCTCAGCAGACTAAATGCCTGCGTAGGCAAGCACAGGACTGGTTCAGTCCCTGGCACCCCAGGCACGCTGAGCCAGTGATGGAGTCCAGGCGTGGCGGAGCACACCTGTAATCCTAGCGCTGGAGCGGCTGAGAACAGGAGGATCACTATGAGTCTGGGCCGCATGGTGAGACTCTGCACCAAATATATAAAATAATTAAATCAAATAAATAAGCTCAGTGTAAATGATCACGTAGCTTCCAGGCACCCACCGTGGGCTTCCACTACTTTTTGAGCCTCGCTCCTGTACTTTTGCCAGGTAGACGAGGCAGGAGAACGACCGAGACAGTATTCTGGCTTGGGCCCCCTCCGTGGAGCTCATAATCTACAGAGGAGGCGACCCAGAGATCCCTAGCAGTGTGACCACCCACACCCTCCACCCTCCGCAGCCACGCTACAGTCTGTTTCCTTTAGCAGACCTCCACGTCATCGAAGGCCATGTGTTGACGTTCCCGACGAGCAGGGACAGCCCAGGGCGCCGTGTTCCCGGGGCCGTGTCCCCTACTGCCCATCGTGCAGGCTCATGCAGTGAGGCTCCCATGACGACGACAAAAGCACCTACTGCACACTGCTCAGAACTCACCCCGCAGTAAGCGACCCTGACTGCACTTCCTTTCCAGCCATCTGAGTTCGCTTCTGAGGGCCCACGACCTCGGTAACATTACTCAGATAAAAAAATGAAGGCAGGCGGAGTGCAGGGACACATGTGTGGATTCCAGGGCACCGGGAGGCTGAGGCAGGAGGGTCACAAGTCTGTGCCCAGCCAGGCCAGCTCGGCAACTCAGCGAGATGCTGTGTCAAAATTCAAAAAAAGCTAAAATAAAAAGAGCTACGGAGGTAGCTCGGTGCTGAGGCCCTGGGTTCCATCATTAATACCACAAGATGGAGAATGAGGAGGAGAAAGGGGGGATGGAAGGAGGGAGGGGCAGAGGGAGGAAAGAGGGAGAGAGGGAGGGAGGGCGGGCAGGCAGGCAGCCCGCACCCACCCACCTTGCGGATGTGGGCCTGCAGGCCCTTGACTCCATACATTCTGAAGACAAACCACAGTTTCAAAGAGCGGAATCTCCGGCCCAGGGGGATCTGCCAGTGCTGAAATGAAACAGAACACAGCGCATCCGTGAGGGCCACGTCCAGAGCCGGCTTCCTCTCCAACCCCGCACTTGATCTGTTTCCTGGTATCTTTCCCTCCACAGCTGAAAAGGCTTGAACCGCACTCCAACCTGCTCCTGCTAAGGCACCAACATGTGGGGCGACATTCAGTCCCGTCATCCTCATGGCCTGGGAGCCCGGCGGGGGGTGGGGGTGTGAGATTGGGACCCAGACCCTAGGCTCTGCTTCCATGGGGCTGCACCCCTCTGGGACCTCTGTCTGCTGACCACAGCAGTGGTGTCAGTGTGGCTGCCTCGGCCCGCACCCCCTGGCTTGGAGGGAAGCAAGGCTATCCGTGAGTCTTCAGGTGCAGTTCGCAGCCAGACACCGAGCAAGGCCTGGTTTCGGGAACACCCACCTCTGGGCTAGTCTCTGTCCTCAGGTCCCGTAGCCCTGCACTTCCCCGCGTGCCCTCAGGGGGCAGCATTGAGGCGGGGGCGTGGCTGGCTCCCCACCCGCGGGCTGCAGCAGCCCGAAGGGAGGAGCCTCCAGAGCCGGCAGCACCCACTCAGGGAAGAGGCTGGGCTAGAGGCAGGGATGTCTAGGAGCCTGAGGACCCTTGGAGCCCAGGGGAAAGGCCTTGCTCTTGCTAGGACAGCAGCGTGGAGCGTACAGCCATGGAGGCTCTGGAGAGTGGTGGTGGGCCGGGGCCTGGTGGGCAGCAGTGACGACCGTCCAAGCTAGGGTCCTCAATAGTCACCTGAGTGTCCCTGCTCCCAGAGCTTTTGTCTTGCTGACGTTTCCTAGCACTGCGCCCTTCCAGAGCAGGCCCAGGCAACCTGGTGTCTCCCAAGTAGAAACCTGGTATTTCCACCGTGCAGGTGAGAGGCATGTTAGGCAAAGCTCCCTAGGGCCTCTGCCGTCCTCTGGCCACTGCCCCCACCCTGTCAGGACCCGCCCGGGACCAGCACAACGTAGAGAGAAGTGTCCAGTAGGCAGGCAGCCACACAGGACTGGGGCCCGGGGAGCGCTGGCCCCACCAGCACTGTGGCTCAGCCAGGTCTCCCTGACCGGCCCTGCAGGTAGCAGGGTGACAGAGCTGCGCACGGCCCCCAGAGCCCCACTCATGGGTCAGGGGGGACCTGCTTGTGGGGCAAGGGGCACCCCCAGTCAGCTGGGAGGCCCCAGCACTGCCCATGTGGCGGATTTCAGCCTAGCAAGACGGGCAGCCACTTACCCTGTAGTCAGTGATAAGACCTGAGAACGAGAGGAGAGAGAAGCCATTAGACCAAGGTGCAGACCACACCCCAGTCCTCATCTTCCAGGTGGTCAGGCCAGGTGGCCACTCTGTCTGCCCTGTGCCTAGCATGCTGTCCCCATCACCGTGGGGAGAACTTGGCTAGGGACTGCAGGTTCTCTGAGTGGGCTTGCCTGTGGGGAGGGAGATGGGGGACAGGGACACACAGTGACTCATCAGTGACCCCAGCTTCCTGGGCAGTGGTGTCTGAGCCCAGCTGCAGCTGCCCTGCACTCCTGCTGCTGGGAGGAGCCATCTAATCCGACCCACCACATCAGCGATGCCTGCACTCTGGCCCCCAGGAAAGAGCAGGCATGTTCTCCAACAGCAGAAAATTGGCAGCACTGGAGGAAATGGAGATGGCCAGGCTCATCCCTGCCTGGCAGGTTCCAAGCCAGCCTCACCACCTATCTCGGCGCTGGTCCCATACCATCGTCCCTTCTGGCCTAAGGTTCTCATCATAACAGGGCTTTAAAAATATCACAGGTCAGATGTATGCTGGCCGGGCCTGGCCGTGTGGCCCTGCGCGCAGATGGCTGTGATCATCCTTCGTGTCCATTGGTCTGGCATTTCTGGTATTAAAATGATCAAATAAGTGGGAAAAAAAAAAAAAAAAAAAAGGTCCACAGCCCTGTGGAATAGCCTGGCAGAAACCATGAGAATGAGGAGCAGCGCCCTAGGAGCCCGGCCGGTGTGGCCCTCAGGCGAGGCGGTGGCTGTTAAAGAGTATGCGTGGCAGCCCCTGTTTCCGCCCCTCGGACTGCAGGATCCCTGATGGCAGCTGCCAGTCAGAGCTGGGCACTTACATCTAAATGGATTAAAGGAACTTAGAAACCTAACTTTTCAGCCTTGGGCAGTTCTCAGTGGCCACCTACTGGACAGCCTGGAAGGACAAACTTTTCTGCCATTGCTAAAAACAAAGCCAGGAAGAGACAGCAAAGGAGAGTGCCCCTTACCCGAGTCCTGGTGGCTGTGCTTCAGGTAAACCGGGTCCAGCTTGAAGGCTCCGATGAGGTCTGTCCTCTTTTTCACCCTAGTTGGAAGGAGCAAAAGATAGCAACAGGGGTAGATCTACTGTGTCGCCCCAGAGTCTCCTGCGGGGGGCGGGGCCGAGCGCGGCCGTGGATTGGTCCGCAGGTGCAGTTGGGAGGAAGCAGTCAGCCCCTCAGGGCACGTGGTCATCCCAGCGCGTCCCTCCTCTCCCACTTCCTGTTCGCCCTGGGCCAGCCGTGGACAAGCCACTGGAACCTGTGAGCCTAACACGCCTCTCTGCCTATAAGTGATAGGTGTCAAAGGAGGACAGTGAGACAGTAGAGATCGTGATGCACAGCGCCCGCCCCCTGGCCTGGCCTGTGCAGGCACCACTGGCCACCAGACCCACCCAGCATTTGCCTGCACCTTCAGAGAGGCTGCTGGGGGTGGCAGGAACAAAAATGAGCCCTAACTAGCCCTGGGTTCCTGCCAGGCCTGCTGGCCACGCCCACGTAAGCCACGCCCACCCAAGCCACGCCCACCCAAGCCTTTCTTTTAAATGCAGATAGCAGATGTGTGCTTTGGTACAACGGAGGAAAGGTTTTCTTTGGAAAAGATCTGATATTAAGGGATCATTAAGGTCTACGCAGACCAGTTCACGTTTACATATAAAAGATTCAAAACACCAAATAAGTCATAAAAAGTTCAAGAGGAATAATAAATTCATTAGGCAATGTATTGCTGTGTTGATAATGGTTGCCAGTTTTGGAAGGTTCAGTTGTCTTGTCCACTCCAGTAATGTAGGCCTAGAACCGCAGTGTTCATATTACGCGAAGGACTAAGCGTTGGTAATATCTCATTAAACGAGAGACTTCTTATTGTGAGGAACGCAAAAGTGCCAGCGAGAGCAACTTTAAAAACCCATTGTTAGGTTATTTGTTGAATTAGTGGAAAAGTTGAAAGATATCTGTAAGAAATTCACAATTGAGAATTGTTGGCTTGTTTCCAATTGCTTTCTTTTATTCTCTGTCTGTGTCTCTCTCTTTCTGTTTTGAAACAAAGTCTCAGCACATAGTTCAGGGTGTTCTTACACACTTCCTATGCTGGTCTTGAACTTCTCACCCTCCTACCTCAGCCTCCCATGCTCTCAGCAGTTTCCAATTATTTCTCTCTCTTTTGGGGGGGCCACTGGGAATTGGACCCAGGCCTTCACACTGAGCCACATCCCCAGCCCTTTGTACTTAGTTTGAGACCGGATCTAACTGCCCGAGCTCTGCTCCCACTGGCGCTCCTCCTGCCTCAGCCTCCCAGAGTGCAGGGGTTACAGGTAAGTGACACCGGCCAGGCTGTGGTGTCAGTGACATGTTCCAGGTCCTTGGCAGTGAGAGAGAGCTCGCCTTCTCCAGACTGACATAC